GGCGGTGGGTGAGTGTTGTTGTTGTGACCTGCAGTGTGGTGAGTGGGTGAGTGTGTTGTTGTGACCTGCAGTGTGGTGAGTGGGTGAGTGTGTTGTTGTGACCTGCAGTGTGGTGAGTGGGTGAGTGTTGTTGAGACCTGCAGTGTGGTGAGTGGGTGAGTGTGTTGTTGTGACCTGCAGTGTGGTGAGTGGGTGAGTGTGTTGTTGTGACCTGCAGTGTGGTGAGTGGGTGAGTGTTGTTGTGACCTGCAGTGTGGTGAGTGGGTGAGTGTTGTTGAGACCTGCAGTGTGGTGAGTGGGTGAGTGTTGTTGAGACCTGCAGTGTGGTGAGTGGGTGAGTGTTGTTGAGACCTGCAGTGTGGTGAGTGGGTGAGTGTGTTGTTGTGACCTGCAGTGTGGTGAGTGGATGAGTGAGTTGGTGTGACCTGCAGTGTGGTGAGTGGGTGAGTGTGTTGATGTGACCTGCAGTGTGGTGAGTGGGTGAGTGAGTTGTTGTGACCTGCAGTGTGGTGAGTGGGTGAGAGTGTTGTTGAGACCTGCAGTGTGGTGAGTGGGTGAGTGTGTTGTTGTGACCTGCAGTGTGGTGAGTGGATGAGTGAGTTGGTGTGACCTGCAGTGTGGTGAGTGGCTGAGTGTGTTGATGTGACCTGCAGTGTGGTGAGTGGGTGAGTGAGTTGTTGTGACCTGCAGTGTGGTGAGTGGATGAGTGTGTTGATGTGACCTGCAGTGTGGTGAGTGGGTGAGTGTGTTGATGTGACCTACAGTGTGGTGAGTGAGTGAGTGTGTTGTTGAGACCTGCAGTGTGGTGAGTGGGTGAGTGTGTTGATGTGACCTGCAGTGTGGTGAGTGGGTGAGTGTGTTGTTGTGACTTGCAGTGTGGTGAGTGGGTGAGTGTGTTGGTGTGACCTGCGGTGTGGTGGGTGGGTGAGTGTGTGGTGAGTGAGTGGATGAGTGTGTTGATGTGACCTGCAGTGTTGTGAGTGGGTGAGTCGTGTTGTTGTGACCTGCAGTGTGGTGAGTGGGTGAGTGTGTTGTTGTGACTTGCAGTGTGGTGAGTGGGTGAGTGTTGTTGTGACTTGCAGTGTGGTGAGTGGGTGAGTGTTGTTGTGACCTGCAGTGTGGTGAGTGGGTGAGTGTGTTGTTGTGACTTGCAGTGTGGTGAGTGGGTGAGTGTGTTGTTGAGACCTGCAGTGTGGTGAGTGGGTGAGTGTGTTGTTGTGACCTGCAGTGTGGTGAGTGGGTGAGTGTGTTGTTGTGACCTGCAGTGTGGTGAGTGGGTGAGTGTGTTGTTGTGACTTGCAGTGTGGTGAGTGGGTGTGTTGTTGTGACTTGCAGTGTGGTGAGTGGGTGAGTGTTGTTGTGACCTGCAGTGTGGTGAGTGGGTGAGTGTGTTGTTGAGACCTGCAGTGTGGTGAGTGGGTGAGTGTTGTTGTGACCTGCAGTGTGGTGAGTGGGTGAGTGTTGTTGTGACTTGCAGTGTGGTGAGTGGGTGAGTGTGTTGTTGTGACTTGCAGTGTGGTGAGTGGGTGAGTGTGTTGTTGAGACCTGCAGTGTGGTGAGTGGGTGAGTGTTGTTGTGACCTGCAGTGTGGTGAGTGGGTGAGTGTGTTGTTGTGACTTGCAGTGTGGTGAGTGGGTGAGTGTTGTTGTGACCTGCAGTGTGGTGAGTGGGTGAGTGTGTTGTTGTGACCTGCAGTGTGGTGAGTGAGTGAGTGTGTTGTTGAGACCTGCAGTGTGGTGAGTGGGTGAGTGAGTGTTGATGTGACCTGCAGTGTGGTGAGTGGGTGTTTAGTTGTGAGCTGCAGTGTGGTGAGTGAGTGGGTGGGTTGCTGTTGTGAGCTGCAGTGTGGTGAGTGGGTGAGTGTTGTTGTGACTTGTAGTGTGGTGAGTGGGTGAGTGAGTGTTGTTGATACCTGCAGTGTGGTGAGTGGGTGAGTAGTGAGTGTTGATGTGACCTGCAGTGTGGTGAGTGGGTGAGTCTGTTGTTGTGACCTGCAGTGTGGAGAGTGGGTGAGTGTGTTGTTGTGACTTGCAGTGTGGTGAGTGGGTGAGTGTGTTGATGTGACCTGCAGTGTGGAGAGTGGGTGAGTGTGTTGTTGTGACTTGCAGTGTGGTGAGTGGGTGAGTGTTGATGTGACCTGCAGTGTGGAGAGTGGGTGAGTGTGTTGTTGTGACTTGCAGTGTGGTGAGTGGGTGAGTGAGTGTTGCTGTGACCTGCAGTGTGGTGAGTGGGTGAGTGTGTTGATGTGACCTGCAGTGTGGTGAGTGGGTGAGTGTGTTGTTGTGACTGCAGTGTGGTGACGTGGGTGAGTTTGTTGTGAGCTGCAGGTGGTGAGTGGGTAGTGGAGTGTTGTGTGACCTGCAGTGTGGTGATGTGGGTGAGTGAGTGTTGATGTGACCTGCAGTGTGGTGAGTGGGTGTGTTGTTGAGACCTGCAGTGTGGTGAGTGGGTGAGTGAGTTGTTGTGACTTGCAGTGTGGTGAGTGGGTGAGTGAGTGTTGATGTGACCTGCAGTGTGGTGAGTGGGTGAGTGAGTGTTGATGTGACCTGCAGTGTGGTGAGTGGGTGAGTGAGTGTTGATGTGACCTGGCAGTGTGGTGAGTGGGTGAGTGAGTGTTGATGTGACCTGCAGTGTGGTGAGTGGGGTGAGTGAGTGTTGATGTGACATGCAGTGTGGTGAGTGGGTGAGTGAGTGTTGATGTGACTGCAGTGTGGTGAGTGGGGTGAGTGAGTGTTGACTCGTGGAACCTGCAGTGTGGTGATGTGGGTGAGTGACGTGTTGATGTGACCTGCAGTGTGGTGAGTGGGTGAGTGAGTGTTTGAAGTGTGACACTGCAGTTGTGGTGAGTGGGTGATGGAGTGTTGATGTGACCTGCAGTGTGGTGAGTGGGTGAGTGAGTGTTGATGTGACCTGCAGTGTGGTGAGTGGGTGAGTGAGTGTTGATGTGACTTGCAGTGTGGTGAGTGGGTGAGTGAGTGTTGATGTGACCTGCAGTGTGGTGAGTGGGTGAGTGAGTGTTGATGTGACCTGCAGTGTGGTGAGTGGGTGAGTGAGTGTTGATGTGACCTGCAGTGTGGTGAGTGGGTGAGTGAGTGTTGATGTGACCTGCAGTGTGGTGAGTGGGTGAGTGAGTGTTGAATGTGACCTGCAGTGTGGTGGTGGGTGAGTGAGTGTTGATGTGACCTTCAGTGTGGTGAGTGGTGAGTGAGTGTGGATGTGACTGCAGTGTGGTGAGTGGGTGAGTGAGTGTTGATGTGACCTGCAGTGTGGTTGAGTGGGGTGGAGTGAGTGTTGATGTGACCTGCAGTGTGGTGAGTGGGTGAGTGAGTGTTGATGTGACCTGCAGTGTGGTGAGTGGGTGAGTGAGTGTTGATGTGACCTGCAGTGTGGTGAGTGGGGTGAGTGAGTGTTGATGTGACCTGCAGTGTGGTGAGTGGGTGAGTGAGTGTTGATGTGACCTGCAGTGTGGTGAGTGGGTGAGTGAGTGTTGATGTGACCTGCAGTGTGGTGAGTGGGTGAGTGAGTGTTGATGTGAGCTGCAGTGTGGTGAGTGGGTGAGTGAGTGTTGATGTGACTTGCAGTGTGGTGAGTGGGTGAGTGAGTGTTGATGTGACCTGCAGTGTGGTGAGTGGGTGAGTGAGTGTTGATGTGACCTGCAGTGTGGTGAGTGGGTGAGTGAGTGTTGATGTGACCTGCAGTGTGGTGAGTGGGTGAGTGAGTGTGATGTGACCTGCAGTGTGGTGAGTGGGTGAGTGAGTGTTGATGTGACCTGCAGTGTGGTGAGTGGGTGAGTGAGTGTTGATGTGACCTGCAGTGTGGTGAGTGGGTGAGTGAGTGTTGATGTGACCTGCAGTGTGGTGAGTGGGTGAGTGAGTGTTGATGTGACCTGCAGTGTGGTGAGTGGGTGAGTGAGTGTTGATGTGACCTTGCAGTGTGGTGAGTGGGTGAGTGAGTGTTTGATGTGACCTGCAGTGTGGTGAGTGGGTGAGTGAGTGTTGATGTGACAGTGGTGGTGAGTGGGTGAGTGATGTGATGTGACCTGCAGTGTGGTGAGTGGGTGAGTGAGTGTTGATGTGACTGCAGTGTTGTGTGAGTGGGTGAGTGAGTGTTGATGTGACCTGCAGTGTGGTGAGTGGGTGAGTTGAGTGTGATGTGACCTGCATTGTGGTGGAAGTGGGTGAGTGAGTGTTGATTGTGACCTGAAGTGTGGTTGAGTGGGTGCGTGAAGTGTTGATGTGACCTGCAGTGTGGTGAGGTGGTGAGTGATGTGTGAGGTGGCAGTTGGTGAGTGGGTGAGGTGAGTTTGATGTGACCTGCAGTGTGGTGAGTGGAGGTGAGTGAGGTGTTGATGTGCACCTGCAAGTGTGGGGTGAGTGGGTGATGGTGAGTGTGATGTGACCTGACAGTGTGGTGAGGGGTGAGTGAGTGTTTGATGGTGAGCCTTGCAGTGTGGTGAGTGGGTGAGTGAGTGTTGATGTGACCTGCAGTGTGGTGATTTGATTACCTAACTGCAGTTTAGTAACTTTAAAGCACGGAGTTGTATCGGTAGTGGGTGTACGGCAAAGCACAAAGCAAATGAAATAAAAATGCGAAATAAAGATGTGCAAAAGTTCATGGGAAACTAATATATAAGAATATCTATCTAATAATAAACGAATATCGCGACAGTCGTTACATTGTGCACACAAACACAGGAGTTGTATCGATTACTGACGCGGTTTAAACATCGATTCCAACGCGCACATTACTCGCGATTCCGAATCGACACGTCCCGAATCTCGCGTCATCGCGACGCCACTTGCGCCTGCAACTTCGCTCAGCCCTCGCCGCCGCCGCCGCCGCCGCGTGTTTAACGTGGCGATGGACGTGTGAGTAGTAAACTCGCATCGCAGCGGGCGAGGGAGATCGATTTGAACCGAATCGAGCAATCAGGAATCGATACTGGAAACTCAGGGCGACCGCGGTATCGCAAGGCGTCACCCCCCCCCCCCAGCGCGTACCTTGCTCTCTCTCTCTCTGTGTCTCTCTCTCTCTGTGTGTCTCTCTGTGTGTCTCTCTCTGTGTCTCCCCCTCCCCTCTCGCTCTCCCCGCCGAGGGGTTCACGGCGAAGGTGGCGGGACGCCGCGCGAGAGACGCCGAGAGGCCGGGGGGGAGGAGGAGGAGGAGGCTGGGGGGGAGGAGGAGGTCCCGGGCACACGCGGAGCGAGTAACAGAAGCCGCCTTCCCGGCGGACGAGACCATTCGAGCAGCGCCGAGTGGGGGGGGGGGGTGGAGCCGAGTGGGGGGTGGCGCCGAGTGGGGGGTGGCGCCGAGTGGGGGGGGGGTGGAGCCGAGTGGGGGGGGGGTGGAACCGAGTGGGGGGTGGCGCCGAGTGGGGGGGGGTGGAGCCGAGTGGGGGGGGGGGTGGAGCAGAGTGGGGGGTGGCGCGAGTGGGGGGGGGGGCCGAGTGGGGGGGGGGGGTGGAGCCGAGTGGGGGGGGGGTGGAGCCGAGTGGGGGGGGGGTGGTGGAGCCGAGTGGGGGGTGGTGCCGAGTGGGGGGGGGGGGCCGAGTGGGGGGGGGCCGAGTGGGGGGGGGGGGCGAGTGGGGGGGGGGGTGGAGCCGAGTGGGGGGGGGGTGGAGCCGAGTGGGGGGGTGGCGCCGAGTGGGGGGTGGCGCCGAGTGGGGGGGGGCCGAGTGGGGGGGGGGGCCGAGTGGGGGGGGGGGTGGAGCCGAGTGGGGGGGGGGGGGTGGAGCGAGTGGGGGGGTGGCGCCGAGTGGGGGGTGGCGCGAGTGGGGGGGGGGGCCGAGTGGGGGGGGGGGCCGAGTGGGGGGGGGTGGAGCCGAGTGGGGGGGGGGTGGAGCCGAGGGGGGGTGGCGCCGAGTGGGGGGTGGCGCCGAGTGGGGGGGGGGGGGGTGGAGCCGAGTGGGGGGGGGGGGGTGGAACCGAGTGGGGGGTGGCGCCGAGTGGGGGGGGGGTGGAGCCGAGTGGGGGGGGGGTGGAGCCGAGTGGGGGGTGGCGCCGAGTGGGGGGGGGGCCGAGTGGGGGGGGGGGTGGAGCCGAGTGGGGGGTGGCGCCGAGTGGGGGGTGGAGCCGAGTGGGGGGGGGGGGTGGAGCCGAGTGGGGGGGGGGGTGGAGCCGAGTGGGGGGTGGCGCGGGGGTGGCGCCGAGTGGGGGGGGGGGTGGAGCCGAGTGGGGTGAGGCGCCGAGTGGGGGGGGGGGGGTGGAGCCGAGTGGGGGGGGGGGGTGGAGCCGAGTGGGGGGTGGCGCCGAGTGGGGGGGGGGCCGAGTGGGGGGGGGGGTGGAGCCGAGTGGGGGGGGGGTGGAGCCGAGTGGGGGGGGGTGGAGCCGAGTGGGGGGGGGGGTGGAGCCGAGTGGGGGGTGGTGCCGAGTGGGGGGGGGGGCCAAGTGGGGGGGGGGGGGTGGAGCCGAGTGGGGGGGTGGAGCCGAGTGGGGGGGGGGCGAGTGGGGGGGTGGAGCCGAGTGGGGGGTGGTTGGGCGTGTGTGGAGCGTGGACTCTACCAACTCTCTGTCAGCCCCGTCGTAGGGTACGACGAGCACGACACGTCCACAGTGGCACCACGTGGGCTGGTTGCACGAGAAGGGAGCGGGCAGGCGGAGCTACGAGTTGGTCTGCGGCCGCACCTGCGGCACTGAAACAATGCTGCCTGCTGCTACCTGCTGCTGCTGCTGCCTGCTGCTGCTGCTGCCTGCTGCTTCTGCTGCTGCCTGCTTCTGCTGCCTGCTTCTGCTGCTGCTACCTGCTGCTGCTGCCTGCTGCTGCTGCTGCCGCCTGCTGCTGCCGCCTGCTGCTGCTGCCTGCTGCTGTTGCTGCCTGCTGCTGCCTGCTGCTGCCTGCTGCTACCTGCTGCTACCTGCTGCTGCTGCCTGCTGCTGCCTGCTGCTGTTGCTGCTGCTGCACGTGTTTGACCGCGCGCTCTTCACCTGCAACACGTCACTCAACAGGCCACGTGAGCCTCTCTCGAGCTCCCGCGCCTTTCCCTTCAGGCCACGCCCATTTATATCTAGGCCCCACCCCCTTCCGCCCGACGTGCGGGGAGGGGCTCCTCTGGTTGGGGGGGGGTCGGTGGAGTGGAAGGTGGTGGGGGGGGGAGCAGCAGGGAGGTCGTGGTGGGTGGGAGGTCGGTGGGGAGGTTGTGGTGGGGGGGGGGGGGTCAATGGGGTTGGTCAGGGGGGGTGAGGGTTTTACAAGGGTCAAAGTCCATGTTGGAGCAGCAATAGCATCATAACAGATGACATTGTCGTGAGAATGAATATTGCATTATGTACTACTGTATGTTGAACTTCTTTCGTACCCTACATAGCCAACCGTGCTAATCGGAGGTGTGATATTGCACCTCCTTCCCCGACCTGTCCATCCACGTTAAATAAATATAAAACATGTAGCGTCGTTTTACACGTTTCTACACATCACATCGGCCACGCGGCCTTCTGAAAGCGTCATGATTGCTTTAGGAGCGTTAGTTTCAAAACAACTCCCGACCGGTTTCAACATGCGGCCACTCATCAGCTGAAGTCAGCCTCGCTTGGACTAATGCCAGTGACCTGTCAGATGTTGATAGGCAAGGGCCTTCGCTCTGAGATATGGGTCCACACTCGAAGCAAGACTCTATCATACAAAATGATAAATAGTGCTGCTATATTCTCCGCAGAGACGTTAATGATTGTATTGTGTCACTGTTTTTGCACGTGTTTACCCAGAGAAGCCTCACTGAGTCTCGAGACTTTATCAGGAGGGTCCTGCCAGGTGTTGGACGAGTAAGCGACGTGCAGGGCAAACCTCTACAACTGTTGCACCTCCAAGGACGGGTGTATTGCAATACATCTGAAACTTGCAAGCGAAAAGCAGAGCGCGACGTGATATATTCATTGCATCAATGCGTGTGCAGTTTGTAAGGGGCGCGGTGACACAGACCTATTGCATGTAAAGGTTAAAATCCCTTGTTCATCACGACGTCCTTTTTACTTCGATGTCTCAACAGCGTGACGGAGACCACGTGACGTCAGGGTTCTGCCTTTGTGGTGAGGGTTGTGAGTTGACGCGGAGGAGGGGGGAGGAGGCGCCTCGCCCCCCCCCCCATGTGGAGTGACGTCACCCGCTAATTATTATTAATGGATGGAGGGGTGTCCATTTGGAGGACGTCACCTGATCGTGATGAGGGGGGCTGTTCGATGTGGAGTGACGTCACCTGCTCATGATTATTAATGAGGGGGGCTAGTCGATGTGGAGTGACGTCACCTGCTAATAATTATTAATGAGGGGGGCTAGTCGATGTGGAGTGACGTCACGAGTGTTAAGGACAGACATTCCTGGCTGATTAGAGTAGGTACCGGTATTTGTCAAATTGGGATCGTGACGCACGCCCGCACACAATGGCCCACTCTTTTTGAATGACTTAACATCAACTCTTGATGGTCTGACCACACGGCAAAGATACACTTAACGAATTTATACAGCATCTCAACTCGCAAAACTCGTCCGCCCAGTTCACCATGGAAGTGGAAGTTGACAGAATTCTCCCTTTTTTGGATATTCTGCTCGGGCGCGGCCGAAACGGTAAAATAACACACGCAGCGTTTACGAAAGAAAACGCACACTGACGCCTATCTGGATGCAGTCACACCATCACCTGCACAGAAATTCTCTCTCATCAAGACGCTCTCTAAGAAAATGTCAGATTGTGATAGTTTGAGAAGTGAAATTAAACATGTTAAAGAAGCGCTGCAATTGAACGATTATAATGATGCACAAATCAACAGGGCACTGAATGCCAAAATCAAATCGAATAGCACAAGCGTTGAAACTGACCAAGCAATTCAAATTATTAAAATACTGTACATTGCGGAAGTAACTCATAAACTTCTCCGCAAATCTGGCTATTGCCTGATGATGCTCGTTATGATTAATGGCAAAACGTCGAACTCGAATTGTAAATGTTGTGGGTTTACTCTCCAACACACCGGCGTGCTGTACGAGTAATGAATTGGCACGTTCTGTTTACTGATTGGCTGTGTCACATTCATATTTACGCGATCTAACCCAATGAACCTCTATCACCCACTCTTGAGTGTGATAATGTTGACGTTTAATGCACCTGCAGCGTTAACCAGGATGGCCTCAATCCAACTGCGATGCTCTGCAATAGACGCTACCATTGGTCCACGTGAGGCACATCCATGCACCATTGTGACGTGGGACCATCACCAGATTCAACAGGAGGCTCGGGTGGTTGCGATATTGCGATGGTTTGTACGATGCAAGATCCACGACGATTGTGTCATCCGCTTGTCACAGCATTGTCATATCGTGATTCACTTTGCTCTTGTAATGTTTTAAATAATAGTTCATTCTCTGACAAGTTATTTAAGAAACAAATTTAAGTAATAAATAAAATGGTATTCGCTGTGAAATTTCCTTCGTCTTCTTTCGTGTGGCAAGGTGAAAATGTGCAATATTAAACGTGCTACCGATTAGATTAGTGACTTGCAAGACATATCCAGAGCGATTGGCTGCTAGATGGTCGTTATGCCGTCATCGTTTCCGCAGTTCGCTCCACGAATTATCGCGCAACCGTCGGCAACATTGGTGATGTGCGTCGTCACACGCATTACAGATCTTAGAAAAGTAATCGTTGAAAAAAATCCCAATAAATGAATCACGTCCGGCATGTGTAAACAAGAACAGAACAAATACTACACCCTTAATTGCCTACATTTACAAGCGGCACATCCAACTGTGAGTGGCCCTTGTGAGTTTATTCAGCTACCACACGACAATGACTACATTAACGCTCAAACTCCCCGCTGTATTTATTCAGGATGTGATTTATTTATTCATACATGTTTAACCGAGTCTCGAAACTCGGGAAGATCTTGCACTGGGATGTTTGGCCTATGGCGTTTTAAGGAGGGTTTCTGTGCAAGAAGATGATTTGCAAAGAGAATCCATTATGCCATCCAGGTGTGTAAGTTCTACAGACGTGAGTGATCCGCTAACCTCGCCCCCAAAGCGAGGAAACGCCGGCATGCAGGCACCACGCCTGCGTATACGTCCAGGGGTGAACAAACACCAGCCGTACAATCTCTCATTCAACCCACACACCCCATACGTTTTGCGCCTACCATTGTGCGCATCCACACGGCTTACTGACGACGTGTACAGACTTGAAACAACCCCCGCTCGAGAGGAGACGACGTCGGCAGAAGAGGCACGTGCGTGT